TCCGCAAGTTTCTGCAGGTGGACTAACAGTACAGTGGCGTAGACTTTACCTACGATGTTCAAAAGTACGATACCTCTGTAGTTGTTGCAATCTCTCCTGTCGCCTTTGTTCTTGTATAAGTTGACATCTTGGCATCACGCTTGTCCTGTGGAACAGCGCCTCCCTGACAACACCGGCAAAATATCTTGTACAGTGGATGCAGGAGAGTTGTTTTGCATTGCTTGATGAGGTCAGGTGGTATGCCGTCACCCCCCGGGGCTTTCTCATTAGTTAGACTGTTGATAGCCTTGGTCAGCTCCTCTATGTTGGGCTCCTCATCTAGTTCGTACATTGTTGGCAGGCCATCAGTAGCATCCAGGGCTGAGGCAGAGACAGTGTTTGTTTGGGAGTAGAGCTCAGAATAGTGTTCCACTCACCTGCCCAACGGCTTCTTCTTGTCTGTGATCACCTCCCCACTTTCAGGTTTCAGAATGTACTACTACTAATACTACTTTACCATGAGAGGATCCAAGGGCTTTCTTGATGCCATCAAACATCCATCTGATATTGCCTGTGAATGCTGCGGTCTGGATTTCTTCAATAAGCTGCATCCAATATTCATTCACACGACACCTAGCTGTTGAACTTTGCTCCTTGCTGCCCTCAGGATCTGAAGGTTCCTCTCATTTGACTGACGTTTGTATTCAGCAAGGGCAGCTCTTTGGCCCTGATGACGGGACTCATCTCGTTAGACCTGGCCAGAAACGTCATTTATTTTTGTTGCCTTCTTACCAAAGGTGGTCATGGCTGCATGGTGGAGGGTTGTACATAGGTACTCCCAATTTTTCAGAGACTGTATTTCCGGGTTCTATTCTGCATAGTTCCTTTTCAAAGGTGTCTGGAAACTGTTTCTGCAGGTCTTCACAAGACATTCTGCTGGTGGCGATATGGGGTTACCCTGTTTCATATGATGGTGCTTCTTAGGCAGCATGCATACCTTACAGTATACCACGGAGTGGCCTGTTTCACAGTCTGCACTATGGAATGATTGGTGTTGAGGACATGCTTGAATGAGGACCGTGTAAGTGCACTCTAGCGTGCGTCGTATCATATGCACGCAGTCCACTCGTGGATTTGCATGGATTTGATAAAGATGTGAACATTCAAGCAACCGTGCACACGGGCTGTGCTGCCTTGCAGTTCAGTCTGTGCAGGGTCAAAGGCTATGGGAGTCCACCTTGTACAAAATAATCCACTGTCTTATGGTATCTATAATATGAAAAGGCTTCTAGTGTCAACCCTGAGGCAGTTCATTGTTCTTGCGACCTTGTTCTGGCAACTCCTGCGGCACCACTGGTGCCAAATCGTATAGGTTTATGTCGTCATCATCAGCTGCGTGGAGAGAGGAAGCATGCTGCGTGGGCAACAGCTTGCTCCTCACATTCCTTTGCCCAGGTATTGACTGTACCTATATGGGAGTGAGTAGAGACAATAATGCCATAGGGCGTCTCCTGTATACATTATGAAAGTTAATCCAGTATTAAAGTTTAAGCCAGATCCTTAACGCGCATGCGCAATGGCAGCATCCAGGATTAAATTTAATTCTCCTCCGGACCAGGCTTTACTTTTGAGCCCAACAATTAATCCTGCTCATGCACCGAACGAGCTACTTAATCCTACCGATCATGTATCGATACATCACGATAATGTCATCAATTCCATAGAAGTTGAGTTGCCATTGATATTTATAATAAACAATAACAAAACAAATTCTGACATTTTCATGTCAAAGATTTATGTGAAAATTCATCAGCATATACATTTATAAGTTGTGGGATATGCAAACTGCAGATATAACTCTCAACATTGAAAAGAAAAACGAGAGTTTACAGACACAGAAAGAGCAACGTTATTTTCAGGTTGGAAAGAAAACATTCCCAACTTATGCAATATATTAATCGAATAAAAGAGAACCTTTTAATAACATCACAATTAGATTTCAAATTCGAAAAAGAAAACTCTTCCTGATTCATTAAACTAACCTGACATCAAAACCGAATGGACATTTGTTTTCATGATCCTCAACACCCTAAAAAAACTACCCTCCCCGTGCCCCGCGATCACACACGAGAAAGAGCTCTCGGAGAAAACACCCGCGAATATTAATTGACAATAAGAGTATCCCATTTTTGTTTGGCACCTTCATTTCGGTTGCCTATAATATTCATAGGTTATTTGAAGCCATTTATATAATTTTCTTTGTACTGACGCTAATATATATTGCCATGATACTAGCTAGGTGTATATATATTTTTTCCTGTGTAACAATGTTTCTTTATCGATATTAATATATAATATGAAACTTGTAGAGGGTGAATGCTAATTGCCATTACACAGACACCCGCTTTTTCATGTAAAACAGCAGATTTACTGATAATCGTCCTGACTCGTGCGCCTGGGAGTGTGTCATGCATTTTCTGCGCAAGTACTTTGGATTTGGGTTAACTTTAATCCGGAATTA